CCAGTTCTGGGCTGCCCAGTACAAGAGGGATGTGGAGCTGCTGAAGAGAGTCCAGCGCAGGACTACGAAGATGATCAGGGGCCTGGAACATCTGCCCTGTGAGCAAAGGCTGAGGGAGCTGGGCCTGTTCAGCCTGGAGAAGAGAAGGCTGAGGGGGGACCTGATCAGTGTCTATAAATACCTCAAGGGAGGCAGTGAGGAGGAGGGGGCCGGCCTCTTTTCAGTGGTGGACAGCAATAGGACCAGAGGAAACAGCCACAAGCTGAGGCACCAAAAATTCCGCAGGAACGTAAGAAAACATTTCTTGACAGTGAGGGTGACAGAGCCCTGGAACAGGCTGCCCAGAGAGGTTGTGGAGTCTCCTCCTCTCGAGATCCTTAAAACCCACTTGGATGCAGCCCTGTGCCACGTGCTCTAGGTGATCCTGAGTGTGCAGGGGGTTCGGACTAGATGACCTCTGAGGTCCCTTCCAACTTTAAGCATTCTRTGATTCTATAATTCTATGAAAAGAAGGAGGAAGAAACAYGTAAGGAGAAAGGGGGCAGGTTAAAGAGGAGAAAGGGGAGAGGGGCAGCAAGGAAGGAAGAGCTAAGAGGGACAGTGTGCATGGCAGCAACGTGGAGTGGGGAAAGATAATGGAGGAAAGGGGGAGATGGAGCGGGAGAGGGAAAAGCAAGAAACAGGGAAAGGAGATGACGGGAGTGGAGAGTGGGAGCAGAGAGGAAGCAGAGAGTTGGGAGGCTGCCGCAGGGGGATCTTAGTCTCAGAGCATGGCACAAGGAGACCACCTGGCCTCACCTCGGCGTCTGTTTCAGAGCAAAGAAAGCTCCCCTAAGCCTAAGTGTCAAAAGCATTTCAGAAGAGGAAAGAATAAAACGAGACAGAAAAATCGAACTTTCACTCTGTAGAAGGAATATGGGTATGGGTTTGGAAAAGGAGATTCTATGCAACCTCTTTTTCAGAGCATCTTGAAAAAGAGGGAAGGCATGTTGGGAATCTCGCTCTAAGCAGGTGGTGGAGTTGGTGCTATAGGGACATCTCTGAGCTTTGGCAGCCAGAGCTGTATCATAGCAGCTGCTTCTGCAGTGCAACAGCCTGCTCRTCACCTGCCCTCCATGTGGGCAAGCCTCCGTTCCTTGTGGGCACAGAGCACAGGCTTKCTGTATATTAGCATGTGTCCTTCACACTTTTTTTTTGTTCTTTCCTGGCTAGTATTCCTACACCATTGGAGGAGCCTTGAGATGCCTGTCCAACATTGCCCTGTGTGCCTCTGGACTCCAGCTTGCTGCAGAGGAAGGAGCTGCATTAGCACCACCAGCTTGTGGCACGCTGGCATCTCTCAGCAGTTCCCCAAGCCATGCCCACGCTGTAAGCAGTCTGTGAGGACTGGGAGCGCTTGCCCATCCCACTGGCTGGGCTTCTCAGCCAAAGAATACAGAGGAAGGGATTTTTGAATATGGTCCAGCTTTTGGGACTCCTCTCCCATCCAACTGGACCTCAGGGGAGTCTCCCAAGCACGTACCGGCACAGGCCAAGACTGCTCTCCAGATGCCTGTGGCTGGGAATCTGCCTTTTGCTCTGTGCCTCCCTCACACAACCTCTAGAGAGACCCACAAGTTTAGCAAAGGTTATGTTGGCAGACAACCTCCCTAGAGGCTTTCCTATGGATGTGTGAAGGCCTGCGGCCGTTCTGCAGAGMTTTCAAGATATTCCAAGCCAGCTCTCCAATTTGCTGCCTTTCCACAAGGACACATGGTGTTGCTTCCCCAGGCCTGCTTTCACAGGCTGCCCAAGCACTTACTTTGCTGTCCATGCCTCA